CTCCTACTCTCAGGTATCAGCATCACCGCAGTCACCAACACAATGAGAAGGAGCGAGCAACTCAGAGCAGCAGCCTCTGCCTCCATGGTCCCACCACCGTTTGTGGCTCGGTCCTGACCGAAGCTTCTCCTTAGCAAGCATCCTAGGCCAGCCTCAAACTCCGGATCCTCCTGCCTCTGCCTACTTCAGTAAATCCAATGAGCCATCACAACCAGCTGAGGGTACCTCGGGTCTGAGCTGGGGCCTGCAAGGCCACAGGCAAGTGGCTTTTTTGTGAGTTCATACCATGAATGTTGGGCGCCAGATGTAGCATGAATATTAAAGAGTCTTATTAATAAAACCAAACCCAAGGCCAGTTATTGGGGTGAATGCTGGAAAATCAGAGAAGCAGAATAAGCCACAGCTTCCTAACCTTGAAGTTCCTCAGCTGATCCTGTTTCCTCAGACTGGAAGCCTCTATGTCCTCATCCGAATGGGTCCCAGCTGAACTGTGCTGCTCCAAAGCCTAAAAGCTTAATGATCCAAAAGCTTCTAGTTTCTGGTCTTCACGCCTTATATACCTTTCTGCTTTCTGCCATCACTTCCTGGGATTAAAGGCTCTTGTTACCAAGCCTGGCTGTTTCCAAAGTGGCCTTGCATTCACAGAGATCCAGGCGGACCTCTGCTTTTGGAATGCTAGGATTAATGGTGTGAGTGTCACCATTTTCTGGCCTCTATGTTTGTCTAGTGACTGTTCTTTTCTCTGACCCAGATAAATTTATTAGGGTGCACGATAGATTGAGGAACACAATATCACCACAGCAGGTGGCTCCACAGAGGTAGCAGTCCTGAATTCTGAATTAAACCGTCCTTGGTGCAGAATGAACTTGGACTTCCTATCCTCTCTGGGCCTTCTGAAAATGTGGGAATGCAACTAATGTTCCTTCTTTTAAAATATCCATTTTCTTTGTCTTCCTCTCTTCCTTCTTTTTCTTTCTCTTTTTTATGTTTTGAGACAAAGTCCAACTTTGTAGCACAAGCTGGCCAGAAGCTTGCTGTGTAGCTCAGGCTGGTTTCAGATTCATGGCAGTCTTTCTGGCCTCAGCCTCCCAAGTGTTGGGATTGCAAACATTCATGAGTCACCACACCAAACTATTTTTAAACTTTTTTAATTAGCACATATTAATAACATAAAATAATGAGTTTTCTGGTGACTTTTTCATCTCTTCACATCTACTCAAATCATGTGCACATAAATACAAGCATGCACATGTTCAAATGTGAGCATGAAGTAAAATGACATATTTAAAGCATTGAGTATCTGGCACTAAACATATATAACTGTCTAATTTGCTAACACCGTTGATGCCTTAAGAGAGACATTACCATGTGGATCAGACTGAAAAGGGACAGCAGATTGAGTATTGCTACAGTTTTGGAACTAACTGAAGATCCCCATGGCTATTTATTTTTATGAGAACCTAGAAATATGTTGAACAATATTCAAAGACAGAACCACTTAACATACATATTATATATATATATATATTATTATTTTCAAAATTAGACACCATTATGACATATTTCAGCAAATCATGTTTTTGTAGTACTCCTTCCCTTACCTCCGCCTGCCCCTTGTTAACCTTATTCCCACCTTACAACCTACCCCCACACTCTTTTCCTCTTTTATGGTGTACATATTTTAGACATAAACTGTTTCTGGATTTAAATCCATTCATTTCACCTTCCCAGGTAATGTGATCTCTATGACAGTAATTTAATGAGCAATAGTCATTTTTTCATTGAAAAAATGATTTGTCTCAGTTTGATCCCGGTTACTAAACTCCACAGCTATACACAGGCTGCTGTCTTCCTTTGATTCATTAAAGTGACTTTCACATTCACACCTTCTTGTGACTTCTTGATATATTGCTCCAAGCACTGGAAAGTAGATAAAAGATTGCTGGCATATTGGGAAGGATGAATTTGTCCTGGAAGAGATTACATCTTGATATATTGTCATTGAATCTCTTGGAGAGTGTTGTATGAACTGCCAAGCTTTGGTACCTGTCCCAAGTGTCTGACATTCACCGCCTAAAGTGCATGACGTTTAGTGGTGTGAGTTGCTTTGAATGTCTGCTCCAACCCACGACAATGAATAAGAATACACCAGCAGTCATTTCTCCCCGACCTTAAATGAAGTTCCTGTTTTGAGATGAATGCTAATAAAAATACATGTATCTTCACAAAAGGCTGAAATCAGTTTGAAACATTCAAAATTGAAGATAAAATTGAACCAAAATAATCTAAAGCTTATTTTTGCTTCAGTCTCTCTTGCCATATTCAATAAGTTTGATATATCTTTGCTAGCAATAATTGCATCCTTGTATTAATGCTCAAATCTAACCAGATATCATCTTCTTCCTGCCTACCTTGAATATCCCATTTAAAATCTTCACATGCACTTTGCACTCAAATTTCCTTTATTTACTCTTGTCTTTTTTATACCTTGTATTATCTATTTATATTTATAATATAATCAATATGTTATTATGTATTGATATGCTCCTCAATATGCTCCTCAATCTATCAACTTTGCCAACCAATGTTTTCCAAGCATGTACAAGAGGCCATGGTATGAGATAGGAGTCCAACAAGATACTGAGATGAATGACTAGATGGATATAATTCACAATTTAAAAGACATCTGATATGATTTGATAATGTTCATGAAAGTATCTAAGCACAAAGGGATAGTGAGTTGCAGAATATTTGTTTAACTGTGTAAAGATGTGTTGCATTTGTTTATGTTGCAGAATAGTTGTTCAACTATGTAAAGATGTGTTGCATTTGTTTAATTATGTAAATATGTGTTGCTGCTTAAGGCACCTGATTGGTCTGATAAAAAGCGTCAGGAACAAGGACAGAATCTCTAGTTAGTGGAAAAATACAGACCCCCATAAGACAGGGAACTAGATCATCTTACAGTCAGGTTGCCTAGCAACAGGACATTGAGTCAGAGCCCTTGATCTTTTACCCTGTAAACATCCTACATAAACATCCTGTTAGCTTGCCCCACCCTATACAGATAACAGCTTCTTGCTCCCACTACCCTGCAGGAACTATATAAATCCTCCTGGAGAAAAATAAAGTTACACCTTGATCAGAATCTTGTCTTGGTGTATTTCCTTTGTGTCTCCTGTCCCTATCATTCTGTCCTTAGGGTGGTCGAGAACCTGTTGAAGCCCTGCTGGCCAGGGCAAAAAAGCTGAATGGCCAATAATGAGGGAGGAGGTATAGATGGGACTTCCAGGCAGGAAGAGTAAGTAGGAGGAGGAAGTTAGGCTTGAAAAAAGAAAGAAAAAGAAATGCCAGGGAGATGCCAGGGACCAGCCATCCAGACCAGAGGAAGTAGTGAAAGACCCCCGCTCCATTATGAGGACATGGGGCTTTGGGCCAATGAAATGCCCCCCCCCTATAACTTAGCCTTAAAAACGCCATTCTAAAGGAATCAGAAAAACAGGAGTTCACAGCCATAGCCAGCCACCCGGCCTTGACAGAGATAGCTATGGCCAGCCATCCAGCCTTAAAAGAGATAACTGTGGTCGGCGGCCTTGAAAAAAAAAAAGTTAAGTCAAATCAGGATATTTTATGGCTGGCCCCCTGGCCTTGAGGAATAAGCAGCTGGCCTGGACAAGGCCAAATCAGCCACATACATGTGACCCCAAGTTCACCCTGGCCTTCTTTGAAACAACCAATAGGGACCCTGTAACTATGCTTCTTGCTTCTGTAACCGCGCCTCTGCCCCTGGGATCCCATAAAAAGTCCCCCTTGCCCTAGGAAGGCGTGCAAGTCCTCCAAGAGACTTCGCCCCAGGTACCTGGTCTAAATAAAC